CCCAATGATTGGGGGCTCCTCTGGAATGATCATAGAAGTGGCTTCCATGCCCCATGCTTTGGTTTTCACCCTCATCCTCCTGGAGATAAGGGTCCTCTTCCTGGAAAGCAAAGGGAGGGGGAGGTGCAGCTCCCTCATGTTGGGCTTCCTGAAGTGGGGTGCCCAATGGGGCACCCGGGCGTGGAGCAACAGGGCGTGGTGCTCCTTGATGCCCAGGATGTGGAGCTCCTTGTGGTGCTCTATGTTGTGCACCTCTGTGGGGCCCTCCATGTTGTGCACCTCCATGTGGTGCTCCACGTTGGGGTCCTCCATGTTGTGCACCTCCATGTGGTGCTCCTCCTTGGGGTCCTCCATGTTGTACACCTCCGTGTGGTGCTCCTCCTTGGCCAGCAAGTATGAGTTGCAGTAACTGTTGGTTTTGAGCAACCAGTTGCTGCATGGTCTCCAATATTTGACGGGGATTCGGGGCCAAAGTATCCGGAACAGGGTTGATAGGCGGGGGAGCAACCTCTTCCTCTCGTGGAGGATTGTCTTCGTGTTGGTTCATGGATCGAGTAGTGATCGCCATTAGTTAATGGCCGTAATGTTCAGGAGTGAGAATTTTGTCGGTTCCCACAGACGGCGCCAAATTGATGATGCACAAAAATGGTTTTGCACACCACCTGTCAAGTATGGATAATAAATGCAATGAAATCAATGAGAAAATTAGAGAAGACACAATTTATAGTGGTTCGGTCAATTCGACCTACGTCCACTCTTCAATGGCTTCAGTCGCCGGGTATTTTATTGATTCAAATGTATGGAGAACGGAGATACAAGCTTTGAGAGGGGGAATGGAGAATCAGAGAAAAACAATAATCTCCGGTAGTCGGTTCGTCTTCTGAAAGTCTCTGATGGAGCATGTGTCCCCTTCTCTCTCAGATTAGAGCCATTTTATAGTAGATAAGAGATCATTCTTGTGGAGATCATAACATATCCTCAAGGCTTCTTTATCGCAGCTTAGAGATTATCTTCGGTGGAAATCACGACTTATCCTAAACGGAAGGAAGAGTTTGGGGAACTCTTGAAGGAAACGTGGTCAAAGATTGGACCGTTGATAAGCTTCTCGTGCTCTCTTCTTGGTGACGTGCTAAGCAAGAAGTCCAACCGGCCTTGGCCTCTTGGTGACGTGCTAAGCAAGAAGTCCAACCGGCCTTGGGCTCCCTAAGGCGGTGTAGATAAACTTCCCGTGCTCTCCTCTTGGTGACGTGCTAAGCAAGAAGTCTAGCCGGCCTTGGTCTGTCTTGGACTTGGTGGGTTCACGATGAGGTTGGGCTCCTCAACCGGGGTTGGGCTTTAATACATAAATTGGACTATTTGGGCTTAACCCATCAAAACCTCACAAAATAGATTTACAACAAGGATGAAAATTCATTATATAACAAATGAATCAAACATAAAAACTCACAAAAATAATATTTTATAACAAATGTATGTTATATTTAATTATTTTATTTGTTATATATACATTATGTTACGGGTTTAGCAAGACGGAGGTGAGGCGGGGATGAGTTTCAGTTTATCCCCGCCTCTATGCCTGCACAGATTTATATGAAATATTTTTTTATACGTTCACCGTCTAATACATAAAAGTATATCCCAGTTTAAACGGAGCGAATTTAGACGAATACTTATTTTTTCTTGGTCCATTCTCATCCCAATTTTAGAGTTAGATTATAAAAAATTTATCCGTCATGAATTCTCTAATCAAGACGTGAATGGTCTTTTTTAACTAAACTGATAATGAGATTTGTCAAAGTGCGTATAGATTAAATTGAATGAAACACTCTAACTAAAAAGACAAAGAAAGGGTTGCAATATCCACCACTAAATCTCTTCCACAGTTTTTAATGGATAAGATCTCAAAGGGTACTAGTGAATGAGTTTGGTGGGGCACATCTAGATGTAGATGTATGATAGTATCTCAGTTTTCTTATTTTTGGCTAGAGATAATATATTTCTTGCATCTGTGTCTATGTATAAATAAGATTAGAATGAATCATATCATGTTATATTGTACAATTAGGAATAATTTTATACCTAAAGACATTCTGCAATACTAAAAATCAAATATTTGATTGTGAATTATTTCTATTTTAAATAATAATTTATTTTTTCTTTAATTATTCAATTTAAAATTAAAATGAATAGAGGAAAAATTAGAGACATAGAGTCAAAAAAAAAAAAGAGAATGGTAGGTGTAGATTAATGGAGTTGTTGGATATTTAGGAGCGTGTTAGTTGAGTTGTCTGACAATGAGAACTGTACGGAGAAGACGATGTTTTTAAACCGAAAAAAAAATTTGTGATAAATTTTTTACTATTGAATTAAAGTAAATAAAAATTGGATTAATCTTTGTCATTACTGTGCTTTCATGAATTAAAAATTTAACTTTTCAACTGTAATAAAAGATGTATTATATCAAATTTATAAAACGGTGCATATTGGTTTACATATCAACATTTTTATTAATGAATTTTACTAATCAATTTAATTACGACCTAAAGTCGTTAATATATGCCTGATAACCAAATCTCCCTAGAAAAAAACCAATCCAAATCATCCACAAACACACAACACTACCATGAAAACTAGCTAATTGTGGTCACTGGTTCAAGTGGGATTAATCATCCACTTAAATTATCTATTGATCATCGCTTGATTAGTTGTTATCTCACCAACTAACTCAGTAAGTTATTATCGCACCAACTAGCTAGCAAGTCGTGAACTCTTTCTCTATCAAATTATTCTTTTATGATCATTGCTTATGGCATATTAACAATCATTTCATTTTTAATGGTACTGCCCCCCCCCCCCCCCCCATTCACATATAATAAATAATATAAACTAATTGTATACTTAAATCAATGTGGATGTTTAAATTAATGAGATTCATTGACTCGTTTTAGGCATTTAATGTATATGAATTTACAGTATTATTTGGTATACATTATTTAGTAAACACATTTGAAATGCACAATTTTATTTACCCTTTTTTTCTATGTCGTACTAAAAGTTTTGAAATTATTGTTCAAGACGATTGACATTCAAATTTAAGATTTTAAAAGTAATTTACAATTTTTCTCCACCATCCTTTTCTCGTGAATGAATTGGTCATTTTCATCTTAATTAGGACAACATTTGAGAAAACTTATTCAATGAACCTTAACTATATATAGTAGGAAAAAATGAAAAGTCCTAATACATTGTATGTATCCACCAAAATTCCCACAAACTCAAGCAACCTTATTTTATTTGAAAGAAAAAGACAAAGGAGTAGACACAAAGCCACCATGGTCCCTATCCTAGGTCATATTATGACTACTTTCAATAATGGAACCACTAATACCACGTGATCTTTATGTGAGAATAGCCAAGAGATGGATGCTTTTGTGCTTCTCCCACAAAATCATTTCTTTCACGTAACTTAGCATCATCACTTCAACCCATCGATTCTTAAAAGTCTAAAATACCCCTGAAGTGTAAGTATTTTTCTTTCTTTTTAAATATTTTTTTCCTGGTATTTAATAACAGAGAGGTAGAAGACGTACATGTATTATCGTGTTATGTCATTGTAAATTTTGTCTAATTTATTTTCAACTTAGTTATGGTCATATGATTGAGTTTGTACCATGATCCCAGAACCAAAAAAAAATTACTATCATCTTTTCAAATTAACTCGTATTAAATAATTTCTATTTATGTTCATATTGAACAGACATAAAGTATAAGAATTGATTATCCTAAAACAGTATCTATTATGATACTTAGATTATACTTGGATCTCTAAATTATTATATATTTTTTAATAATTTGAACTTTATCATTATGAGTTTTCAAAAGTTGACAAAGAATATGCTGCATAATGTGAACAAGACAGTGATGTTATAAAAAATTTATAAATCTTGTCTTTTGTTGAATGTGAATGCAACATGTCTAGTCAAGGTCTTATGTAAGAAAATATATAAAAAAACCAGAAGACAATGTGAACAGAGAAGAGGGTCAAGATCGTCAATTGAATTTTCAAAGGTGAGTCCTACGTAGGCAGCCTTAATTAGTAATTATAGCAAAAAGTAGGGAAATTTGTGGAATACACTCCTTTATATACTCCCCCCCCATCTCCTTCCTTCGAAGCGCACCAATTCACCAAACCTCAGAGTTCACTCCGAACCCCTTCCACTCCCACTAGTAACAATCATTGAACAGTTTTTTTTTCCCGGCGGAGAGATCTGAATCGGAGATGGCGGCGACGAGGAGGGGAACGATCAACGGTGGGGATTTGTCGAGGAGGCTGGTTTATGGGCGGCAGATACCGAAGAGAGGTCAGGTGAAGGTGACAATTGTGTTGGGTTTGGCTCACTCTTTAGCTTCGATCTTTTCTTTTGGTTCTCGTTCTCAATCCAGCCGTCGAACTCAGCTCTTGTGACCTCAAAAAGAGGGGAGAGAGAGAGAGAGAGAGAGAGAGAGAGAAAGAGAGAGAAGAACCCAATTTTGCGGATTTTGAGAGGAATGGAGGAGGGTTTTGCTTGCTGCTTTGGATTTGATTTTGAGCTCGTTCTGTATATTGTGGTGATTGACTAATTCCACTTGTGTAGTTGCTTGCAAAATAATGAATGATTCTTGGTGTTAGATCAGTTTCTGCGTATTTTAATTTTTTTTTTTTTTTTGTTTGGGTTCAATCATTGGATTTGGTTTTTCACGGGTTTAGATTACTTCCATTTCAAATTTACCGGTCAAGCCATTTCAAATGCGGATTGTTCTAAGTTTGGGTTAGATAATTTGAATTTGTCCAAACACACATTCAGGTATTGGGTGTGCAAAATCCTTATCCGCATATTCCCACCTTAAAATGGGATAATAATCCAACAGGGGGTTACATAATCCAATCCCATCCTTCAGTAAACCAAATAGGTCCAAAAATAGTGCAAAAGAGTGACGTCCTGTTACTTGATTACTCTCTCTCACCCTATCCTTGTGTTATCCCTACCGAAGACTAGTGTGGTTGCCCAGTTCACAGCCACATAAAACCTGTTCCTCCAGCTCAAAACTCGCGTCAGGTAAGCAGAGCGCCACACCAACCAGCTTACGAACCCCGCAAGTGAGATTCCTTTGGCGTCCTGTCAAAGTGAAGATCACAAAATCAGGTGATGCATCATTCATGGTGTCTTCTTCCGGGTCCGATTACATTACCAAAAAATTATTTTTCAAAAATAAATTTTTTTTGTTTGTAACACGTTTTATTTTTTCGTCTAAAAATCAAATGAATGGTGATTATGATTCACAGGGCTCGATTAGGATCAATCCCGCCATGATATGGTCGATTCCAATTTTTTGAATCTCAATGAATTATAACTATGTGACTGGATTAAATGGTAAGTTTCTTATTTTTTTTGGTACGACATTTGATATCATAGTCTTACCCTAAAGACAAGGCAAAGTACTCCTAATTGTTTCAAGGATTACAAGTTACAAAACTTATTATGGGTCAGGTATAATTTAATGAAACTCTTGCAGGAATTCGAAATTCTCTATATGATTGAGTAACTTAGCTTTATAGGAGGTGGAAAGCAGAGTATAGAAAGAGTTAAAAAGTACCTTGGACTGGCGTAGATCAACCAGTGCCTTATACCGCCCAACAGATGCCATACTTCCCAGATGCTTATAGACGAAAGGGTCTGCCAGAGGGACGTCCTTTGCACTGAAAGCCTTGCCCCCATTCTGCTTCCCAACTTTATTGAACAACTCCACAAGATATTTCCCTTGCCTTTCTGCAACCTGTTCAAAAAGGTTATTCTAATTGGAAAAAAAAAAAAAAAAAACATGACACACCAAAACAGCTTTAATGAATTTACTTGAAGTGTTATCAACCTGATATCACATAAAGTTCTCAGGCATAAGTTGAGCCTTGATAGACTCCTATCGTAATTGTTGATATGCTAACACACGCATACTAAAAGGACCCGATATAAACTTAACTATACTTTACACGAAACAAATCGGGTATGCATTGAGAAAATTT